ATGAATATTTGCCTGTTTTCTTCTTAGTTTTAGGGCAGGTATGTGTGAAAGAACAGTGCCCATGCAAAATACTGAAACAGGAAACAAAGGAAAACGGAAAGGAAGAGAAGGGAAATGGAAGGGGAAGGAAGGGAAATGAAGAGAAATGGAGGGAAGGGAAGGGAAATAGAAGAGAAGGGAAATGGGAAGGGAAGGGAAAGGAACTGAAAGGGAATGGAAAGGAAATGGAAGGGAAGGGAAATGGAAGGGAAAGGGAAGGGGAAGGGAAGGGAAAGGGAAGGGAAATGGAAGGGAAAGGGAAATGGAAGGGAAAGGGAAGGGGAAGGGAAGGGAAAGGGAAGGGAAACGGAAATGGAAGGGAAGGGAAATGGAAGGGAAAGGGAAATGGAAGGGAAAGGGAAGGGGAAGGGAAATGGAAGGGAAAGGGAAATGGATGGGAAGGGAAATGAAAGAGGAAGGGAAGGGAAATGGAAGGGAAGGGAAAATAATTGAAAGGGAATGGAAGGGAAATGGATGGGAAGGGAAATGAAAGGGGAAGGGAGGGGAAATGCAAGGGAAGGGAAATGAGGGAAACGGAAGGGAAGGAAAGGGAAACAAGGGAAAGGGAACAGAAGGGAAAGGAAACGGAAGGGAAGCAAGGGAAGGGACATGGAAGAGAAGGGGAAGAGAAAGGGGAAGGGAAAAACTTAGGGCACTTATTAACCAGGGCTGGGCCAACGGCTGCAGGAACTGCCATTTGGCTTCCTGGATTGGTTGCTACAGACTGGGGGTCCAAGCACTGTTCTTATTTATTTAATTTTTGAGATGGACTCTCCCTCTGTCACCAGGCTGGAGTGCAATGGTGTGATCTTAGCTCACTGCAACCTCCGCCTCCTGGGTTCATGCGCTCCTGCCTCAGCCTCCTAAGTAGCTGAGGTTACAAGTATGTGCCACCATGCCCAGTTCCCAAATGCTGGGATTACAGGTATGAGCCACTGCGCCCAGCCTTTCTTTTGAGATGGAGTTTTACCACCACGGCTGGAGTGCTGTGGTGCAATCCCAGTTCACTGCAACCTCTGCCTCCTGGGTTCAACTAATTCTCCGGCCTCAGCCTCCTGAATAGCTGGGATTACAGGGTGCACCTCCATACCCGGCGTGCCTGCGTGTGGGTATGTATGTGTTTGAGATGGAGTCTCACTCTGTCGCCCAGGCTGGAGTGTGGTGGTGTGATCTTGGCTCACTGCAACTTCCACCTCCCAGGTTCACGCGATTCTCCTGCCTCAGCCTCCTGAGTAGCTGGGATTACAGGCGTGAGCCACTGCGCCCAGCTCATTTTTTTTTTTTTTTTTTTTGAGACGGAATTTTGCTTGTTACCCAGGCTGGGGTGCAATGGCGCGATCTCGGCTCACCACAACCTCCGCCTCCTGGGTTCAAGCAATTCTCCTGCGTCAGCCTCCTGAGTAGCTGGGACTACAGGCGCACGCCACCATGCCCAGCTAATTTTTGTATTTTTTTTTAGTAGAGACGGGCTTTCACCACGTTGAGCAGATGGTCTCGATCTCTTGACCTCGTGATCCACCCGCCTCAGCCTCCCAAAATGCTGGGATTAGAGGTGTGAGCCACCGCGCCCGGCTTAATTTTTATATTTTTAGTAGAAATGGTGTTTTACCATTTTGGCCAGACTGGTCTTGAACTCCTGACCTCAGGTGATCCACCTGCCATGGAAATGGTGTTTCCATGTTGGTCAGGCTGGTCTCAAACTCCTGACCTCATGATCCACCCGCCTCGGCCTTCCAAGGTGCTGGGATTACAGGCATGGATTACAGGCATGAGCCACTGCGCCCAGCCTAATATTTGTATTTTTAGTAGAGATGGTGTTTTACCATTTTGGCCAGACTGGTCTTGAACTCCTGACCTCAGGTGATCCACCTGCCTCAGCCTCCCGAAGTGCTAGGATTACAGGCATGAGCCACCATGCCTGGCTAATAGACTTTTCATTTTTCTTTTGTTTTGAGATGGAGTCTCACTCTGTTGCCAGGCTGAAGTGCAGTGGCGCCATCTGAACTCACTACAACCTCTGCCTCCCAGGTTCAAGCGATTCTCATGCCTCAGCCTCACGTAGCTGGGACTATAGGCACATGCCATCTGACACCTGGCCAATTTTTTTGTATTTTTAGTAGAGACAGGGTTTCATCATGTTAGCCAGGATGGTCTGGATTTCCTGACCTCATGATCCACTAGCCTTGGCCTCCCCAGGTGCTGGGATTACAGCTGTGAGCCACCGTGCCCAGCCAACAGTCTTTCCCCAATGAATTGTCTTGGCATCCTTGTTGAAATTTCTCGACACTAAGTGATTATTGTGTAACTTTTTGTAAATTACAAAATCCATGTACTTAAACAAAAAATGCATGGAAGCCCAGTGCGGTGGCTCACACCTGTAATTCTAGCACTTTTGGGAGGCCAAAGCAAGGGGATCATTTGAGGTCAGGACTTTCAGACCAGCCTGGCCAACATGGTGAAGCCTCGTTTCTACTACAAATACAAAATTTAGCCAGGTTTGGTGGCGTGCACCTGTGGTCCCAGCTACTCAGGAGGCTGAGGCATGAAAATTGCTTGAACCCAGAAAGTGGAGGCTGCAGGGAGCTGAGACTGCTACTGCACTCCAGCCTGGGTGACAGAGCGAGACTTCATGCAAAAGGAAAAAAAAAATGCATGCAGGTGACTGATAAAATGCTGACTCAGCAGGCTCCAGATCATTCCTGGGGCCCAAGCGTGAAACTGACTGGCTTCTTGCCTTGGGACCAGGTAGCCTGCAGGGCCTGTGGGGTAAGGGCTGTGAAACCCCGGGACTGACACCCCCTCTGACTTACCCTCCCTCCAAGGGGCTGTGCCCTGTGGTGGGTAGGTGGGCAGCCCTGCCTACTGGCCTCCTCTCCCACCCTGCCCTCTGCCCCTGCCCTGCAGCCCACTGCCAGGCCTGCTCTGCCAAACCAGACTGGGCGCTTTCATCCCCTGACTGGTACTGTCCCAGTGGGGCTGACTGCAGGGAGGGGCTGGGAGTGATGCCAGCCTCCAGGGTGGCCCCAGTGCCCTGGCATGACAGCTGATCCTCCAGTGCTCCAATCAAAGCAGCTCTGAGAATGTGGCCCCTGCATCGGCAGTTTTTGGGATTTGCTGGCCAGAGCGGCCTTTCTGAACCATCTAATTTCTTTTTTTTTTTTTTTTTTTTTAGGAGACAGAGTTTCGCTCTTGTTCCGCAGGCTGGAGTGCAATGGCACGATCTCAGCTCACCGCAACCTCCGCCTCCTGGGTCCAGGCAGTTCTCCTGCCTCAGCCTTCTGAGTAGCTGGGACCATCTGATTTCTTAAGAAGCAGCAGTCTTCCCCAGAACCTACCCACTCCCTCCCTGGTTGTGAATTTCCAATCTGGGCTCTGGGTACCATGTACAAACCTCAGAGATCCTGCTGGTCTCTGTCCAAACAAAACCAACTCTTCACAAAATGCACCCGGCAGTGCATTCACCTTCAGAAGTTTGAGCACTGAATGCATATTTGAGTATATCAAAGATTTTTTTTTTTTTTTTTTTCCCCTGAGACAGGGTCTTGCTCTGTAGCCCAGGCTGGACTGCGATGGCACAGTGACGGCTGCCTGTGGCCTCGATCTTCTGGGCTCAAGTAATCCTCCCACCTCAGCCTCCCACGTAGCTGAGACTACAGGTGTGCCCAGGTAATTTTTAAACTTTCTGTACAGATGGGGGTCTCACCATATTGTCTAGGCTGGTCTCGAATTCCTGGGCTCAAGAGACCTTGCCTCAGCCTCCCACAGTGCTGGGATTATATGCATGAGCAACCACACCCAGCCTGCCATTACGTTTTCTGTTTTTGAAATGGGGTCTTGTTCTGTCACCCAGGCAGAAGCACAGTGGCGTGATCATAGCTCACTGCAGCCTGAACCGGAAGGCTTAGGTGCTCCCACGTCAGCCTTCGAAGCAGCTGGGACTACAGGCTGTTTGCGCCACTGCACTCCCGCCAGAGCCACACGGTAAGACCTTGACTTAAAAAAAGTGGGGGGGAGGCCAAGGTGGGCAGGTCCCTTGAGTTCAGGAGTTTCAGACAAGCCTGGGTAGCAGAGTGAGACCCCCCGCTCTACAAAAACACACAAAAATTAGCCAGGTGTGGTGGTACACACCCATAGCACCAGCTACTTGGGAGGCTGAGGTAGGAGACTGGCTTGAGCCCAGGAGGCCCAGGTCAGTGAGCCAAGACTTCGTCCCTGCATTCCAGCCTGGATGACAGGGCCAGATCCTGTCTCCAAAAAAAAAAAAAAAATTAGTGCTTGCTTAGTGTTGGTGGGGTAGCCCCATGGGGTCCAGAGCTCTACACTGTCTGAGATCCCTGAAGCCCAGCCCCACTGTCTCATTCCCTTCCCCCTACTTCCCCAATTCCCCCACCCAAAGGCCTCCCACATGCACAGTCAGGCCCCTGGCTCCTCCCTGAAGGGCCTTGGTTCTGCCCTCCTTAGGGGGTGCAGGGATCCCGCTGCACTGGACAGCAAGGCAGCCAGCGGGCGGGCGGTGCAGGCAGGAACAGACGCAGCAGCTCGCCGCATTTATTGATTGCAGCCCCCACAGAGCAGGTGCCCTTCCCAGGCGGGTGGAGCCCAGCGACCAGGAGGGCAGAGGAGGCCGCAGCCACCCCGTTGGACTCCACGTCCGGGAGAAGGCCCTGAGGGACCGCAGCCCGGCTGGGCCATTCCTCCAGGGAGCCAAGCGGGGGGGCGTAGGGCCCGAGGGATGCAGGCACCCGCCTGCTGGGGAGCGAGAGGCTTTGGCAAAACTGTTAAAGCCACTGTGGGGCGGATGGGGGTGGACCTTGGTGGCCCTCGACCCTCTCTGGCGATGGCTCCAGAACCACTCTGGGCCCCTCCCTCCAGGCACTTGCTCGTGGTCTGCGTTGTTTGTTCGTGGGTGGGACCCGGCAGAGGGGTCCTGGAGTTGCAGCTGGAAGGTCTGGCCCCTCTCAGCGGAGTCACAGTGCGTGGCTTGCACTTCGGGGAGCGACCACCAGGGCGCGCCACACCCCACCACCAAGTCCTCCATGGAACGGCCTGGAAGATGCTGCTTTGGGCCTCAGGGCAGGAGGCAGGAATAACACCCGTCCCCCAGCCCAGGAGCGGGGAGGAAACCAGCCTCTGGTGGCCTCCATTGCCCTGAGGGGCTGCCAGCGGGAGAGGGGCAAGGCCACCCAGCGCCAAGCCTGGGGAGCCTGGGAGCCCGAGCAGGGAGGGGACGGGGCCAGGAGGAGCCAGCAAGCTTGGGGTGGGGGGACACGGCAGGGGCCTGCAGGGAGGCCGTGGCCCCAGGAGCCGGCGCTGGGATTGGTGCTGACACTTGGGGGCTCTTTGGAAGGGTCTAGCTCTGCTGGCCTGGTGGCCCAGCCATTCCCACGGCCGGTCAGGACGGAACTTTGATGCCAAAGTTTTTGCGAAGCTGTTCCAGAAACACAAAGGTGAGCACGGTGTGGGGGACCAGGCGGATGCCAGCGGGGACAAGGCCCTGGAAGGAGACGGGGAATGAGGGGCGCAGAGCCCGCAGGGACGCGTTCCCGCTGCCCGAGCCACCCCCACCCCACCCCACCCCCCACCCCCACCCCCACTGCACCTTGTAAAAGGCCAGGGGCCCGAGTTTCGCTGTCTCCACAGCACAGTGGAAAACGCCCTGCAGAAAATGCAGTGAAACAATAAGGCTGCTTCTCACCCAAAACGCCACGAAAATCCCCTCCCAGGCACCCGGCCTGTGCCCTCTGAACACGGGGTGTGGGGTGGGTGTGAGCTGCGGCTGCTGGCTGGTGTCGGGTGACCACAGGCCTGCGGGCCCTGGCCAGGTCAGGGGCTGCCCTGCCTGCTGATGCGGGAAAACCAGGGCCCGGGGGTGGAGGGGCCGTGTGAACAGAACCATGAGAACCACAGGGTCAGGGAGAAGAGCGGGAAACGGGCTCGGGCCCTGCAAACGTGGACGCGCCATGGAGCTGGCGGGAGCCCGAGGCAGGAGGCCGGAGCACTTATGTGGCACCAGCTGCCGTGAGCAGCACCACCTGTTTATCTGCTCAGGAAATGCTCTGGCTGCGCGGGGGCTCACGCCTGTAATCCCAGCCCTTTGGGAGGCTGAGGTGGGCGGATCACTTCAGACCAAGGGTTCGAGACCAGCCAGGCCAACGTGGCGAAATCCTGCCTCTAAAAACACAGGCGTGTGCCATCACACTCGGCTAATTTTTGTAATTCCAGCTTCTTGGGTGGCTGAGGCATGAGAATCACTTGAACCCGGGAGGGCGGGGTTGCAGTGAGCTGAGACTGCCCCACCACTTCAGCCTGGGCAACAGAACGAGACTCTGTCTCCAAAAAAAAAAAAAAAAAAAAAAAAACTGTTTTGTTTAAAAAACACTCTGTCACCCAGGCTAGAATGCAGGGGTACAATCTCAGCTCACAGTGGCCTGGACCTCCTGGGCCCACGGGATTCTCCTATCTCAGCTGCCTGTGTAGCTGGACCCTCAGCCAGCCAAGAGGCTGGGATTACAGGAACACGCCACCAAACCTAATTTTTGACTTCTGGTCAGTACATTGCCGAGGCTGGTCTTGAACTCCTGGACTCGAGACCTGCCCGCCTCAGGCTCCCAAAGTGCTGGGGTTACAGGCACAGGGACTGCACCAGACCAAGACAGGTTATTTAAAACAAAAACAAGGCAGAGGTACTCAAAGCCATGATCCCTCTCCCAAGGCCAAGGGCTGTGCAGAGATGGGCAGCTGGAAGGGAGGCCATGGTGGAGGCATCCTTCCCCAGGTCCCAAGGGCAAGTGTCCACGCCTCGCAGAGGTGAGGGAACTTGCTGGGCTGGGCAGCCCGAGGGCACAGGTGGGACCCCACGCACCTGATACTCCCCCTTGGCGTTCATCAGGCGGGTCTTCAGCACGTCCAGGGGCTGACACAGGAATGTGGCACATCCACCCTGGGGAGGGGGCTCATCACCAGTGGCCCAGCGGGTACCCCTGGCACCATCGCTGAATCCCACCCACAGGCCAGTCCCGAAAGAGCCCCTTGACCCGATTCCCGGGCAGGCCAGTAACATGCTGGTAAGGGCACCAGGCCGACCCACGAGCTCCCAAAGCCCCAGCGCCCACTTGTGAGCCCCAGGAGGCACTGCCAGATGCCCGAGGCCCCCCACCTCCCACAGCCTTCCCCCTAGCCCGGGGGGCCTTAGCTCCCAAGGCTGGCCCAGGGACGCCCACCCCAGCCATTCCTGCCACTTACCGCAATGAAGCTGGCGACAAAGTGAGTGAAGATGTTGTCAGCCAGGTACCCGGTGCTGAGGACCAGCTGCTTGGCCTGGTCATAGCAGGAGAGCTGCAGGGACACAGGGACGGTCAGGGCTGTGGGGCGGTCCCCAGCTCAGGGAAAGCATGCAGGGCCCCAAGCAACACCACCTGACGATGGCCAAGTCCATGAGGCCCAGACAGGGACCTGCCGAGGCCCTTCGTGGCTGCGGCCCTGACCCTCCCATGCCCCAGACCCCACCCTACTAAGGGCACAGCTGGTGGCTCCCCAGGAGGGTATCGGCGCCCACTGCCTTATTCTATGACCCCTCTGAAGATGGAGGTCGGAGGCTGCAGGTGCTGCCCATGCTCACCCTACACATGAGACCTACCTGTCCCACGGTGACTAAGGCCCCTCGGCTGGATGCCATGGTCGCACCCGAGAACAGCCTCCTCAGACCCTCTGCACGAGGAAGGCGTGAGGCCAGGGGTGAGGCCAGGTGCCCTGTCCAGATCCCCTGGTGCCCAGTCCCGCCCCCACCTGCGCACAGCGCCTGTCCCTCACCTTCACGAGCCACGCGGTACAAGCCATCCAGTGCGTGGGCATAGCTGCCAGGGACACGGAATGGCTACATGAGGCTCCGCCTGACCACCTGGGGCCTCCTGGGCCCCACTGCAGGCCGGGCGGTTCTCGAGGAAGCAGAAGCCTCATGGGCCCGAGGATCCCTCCGTGGGAACATTTGAGGCTGGTCCTGCCATCCCACAGCCACCCCGCCAGCACCGCCTGCCCTCGTGGGGAGGGTCCATCTTCTCCAGCAGAGTCCCCGGCTGGGCACTGCTCTTAGCATGCAGGCTGCTGCTTGCCAGCCTCCCGAGATCCTGGGGGGACAGTCTGCGTGCACAGCCAGAAGCCAGAAACTCTTCCCCAGGGGTCCTCGGAAGGGGCGGGGAAAACAGCTCATGCTGCAGTTGGGGCAGACCCCAGGCCGAGGCAGGAGGGCACAGCTGCCCTGTGCTGGGCAGGGAGCAAATACCTCCTTTGGGCGTTTCTGTCAAGTGTGGTCTCTCCACACCTGGGGCCTCCACCTCTGCATTCACTCCCCTGGGGTACAAACAGGCCCAGCCCCCAGTCCAACAAGCCTCTCCCTACAGGAAGAACCCACAGGTCCTACGGGGCAGAGTGACACCCCCAAGTCCAGAACAGCTGTCAGGACCCCTCCGTGGACCACACAGGCGCCGAGGCCCGCTGGAGTCCTCACTAGGTCATGGCAGGGCGGCTGGGGATCCACTCCAGCATGAGCCTCCTGCACCCCAACCACCCTGAGAAGGCAGGGCTGCCCGTGACTCACTTGCGCCGCTGGGCCTGGGGCAGCTTCATGTCGTTTTGCATCCTGAAACAGAAGCAGGCAGCGGGAGAGGCAGGCGGGCCTCGGGGCATGGGCAGCCCTGGCAGAGCCCCACGGGCACCCAGGAAGCTCACGCTGGTCAGCAGGGCCGCCAGGATGGGGCGCGCCGGGGCTCGGACACCTGCCCTCCTATGCCCAGGACACCAGGGTCCGAGTGGCTTGTTCCAGGCTGACCCCACCCTGCCAGTGACCCTGGCACGCCCTGGTCTGTCTGAGGACAAAAAAGCCCCTGGCCTTGCAGGTGGGGTAGGGGGCACCAACCTGACGTTGACCAAGTCCGCAGGAGTCCCCACGAAGCCTCCAGCCAAACCTGTAGTGACACAAACCCCAGAGACAGCCAGTGATGACACTCGGTGACCACAGCCCCCAGCCACCCCTCGCCCTGCCCGCCCAGCAGCTCACCGCTGATGGAGCCCAGCAGCACCTTCTGGTGGAAGGGAAGGGGCCCCTGGCAGCCCTTGGCCACCCGGTCCCGCACAGTCTCGTAGATGGCAAACCGAGTCAGGGAGTAGGTCATCTGGGGAGAAGGGCCCGGCTTGGAGGGGCAGGCACGCCCCACACCCCGCAGCCTCACCACCGTGGCCCAGCCAGGGACCCCCTCAGCCCAACAGGCCATAGGAACCTGAGGGGCCTTCCCAAGGCCACTGGGTCAGCATGCGGCTGAGCCAGTTCACAAATCTTTTTTTTTTTTTTTTTTTTTGAGACGGAGTTTCACTCTTGTTACCCAGGCTGGAGTGCAATGGTGCGATCTCGGCTCACCGCAACCTCCGCCTCCTGGGTTCAGGCAATTCTCCTGCCTCAGCCTCCTGAGTAGCTGGGATTACAGGCACGCGCCACCATGCCCGGCTAATTTTTTGTATTTTTAGTAGAGACGGGGTTTCACCATGTTGACCAGGATGGTCTCGATCTCTTGACCTCGTGATCCACCCGCCTCGGCCTCCCAAAGTGCTGGGATTGCAGGCTTGAGCCACCTCGCCCGGCGCCAGTTCACAAATCTAGAGCTGCACCATGCTCTCCCTCACTGGGCCTCAGTTTCCCCAATGGCAAGTGGCAGTCTCAGGCCCAGCCCTGAGAACTGGGCTGATGTCCGTGGAAGGTCCACCCCCGGGTCACCAGCTCTCTGGGCCCTGTGGGTCTGTCCTTGCAGAAAGTCTTGGAAAGGGGATGGAAGTAGCTCTGATGCCCACTGTGGGACTAGGCCCCAGTCTGGGAGCCCTGAGGGGATGTGGAAGCCCGAGGCTGGCACCCTCCACGCACCTGTCGGCACAGCGAGGCACTCAGGCCGCTGTAGAGCGCCAGGACGCCGTCGCCACGCACCACCCGTAGCGCCATGCCCGTCATGCGCAGCTTCACCTCCTGCTGTGTCTGCAGATGCACCTGCAGGAGTGAGTGCTCTCAGACCCCACAGTGACCCCGAGGGATCAGTGCCGGGTCCATCTGGAGGGGGGAAACTGAGGCAGGGGGTCAGTGATAAGGCCTCCCACAGGCCCTGCCCAGGGACTCCACACCCGTGCCTGGAACCAGCTCACACCACTGCTTTCCAGCAGCAACCACAGCAGGGGACACTGAGCTGAGAGAGCCCGCGAGCCCCGAGTGCCCCACGCATGCCCCACGCACCACCTGAGTCCTTGCTGCACTGGCCACAGGGGCTTGCCATTCTCCTTCTGCAGATGAAGAAACTGAGGCACGGAGAGGTCACGCACCCGCTGGTGCCATCGGGATTTGGGCCAGCGAGGAGACCCTAGAGCCCCACTTTTTACCCACCACACCACATCTCAAGGGAGACAGACATTTCCGGGGGCTCAGAAATGGCGAGGGAGCCTGCAGGATCGTAGGAGACTGAGGAGGTGGCCAGAGAAGGCCTTGAAAGGCGGCAGGAGTTCAGCAGCGGGCGAGGGACAGTTTGGCTGGCACAGGGCACAGTGGCCTCCTCCACAAAGCACCTAGAAGCTGTGGGCAGGCACGCAGGGACTATCAGCTCCACAACCTCCCCGTTCCCTGGCCTCTACCACTCACAAGACCTCTGCCTCCCAGCCTGGCCAGCTGAGAGCTCCAGGCAGAAGAGGGGTGGGCCAGGGCCAGACAGGAAGGCCAGCACCTGGCCCAGGATCCCAGCTCCTGGGTCCCACCCCCAGCACTGACCCCAAAGAAGCCCGTCCACCACTCAGTGTGACCTCCACACACATGGCCCCTGTCATGCATGCCCAGGGGGTGGCAAAGATGGGCGGGGACAGAGAGGGGCCTCCCATTGTGTGACCTGGCACAACGGAGGGGCTGGGCCTGAGGACCCGGCGCCCACACAGGCAGCAGCCCCTGTCCAGGCCAGAACCGACAGTAGGGACATCGGACAAAGTGATCAAGAAGCTTTACGATTTTTTTAACGGCCAGGCAGAGAGCCCTGGCAAGCAGTCCTCAGGGACGCGCCCTGCCCACAGCCCCATCTGCTGTCAGCAGCAGCTTCTCCCGCCCTCCCAGGCCAGAGGGCAGTCCCGCCTCCACCGGAAAGCCTTCCCTGCCTCCCCTTGCAGTGTTCTGCAGCCAAAGAACACCTGGTGGGGTGGGGCCAAGGGGCAGTGACGCCCAGAGGGGCCTTGGACAGTGGTCAGGCAGGCGGGGGCAGCCTTCAACACCCAGGGGGCCTGTAGGAGAGGCCCTGGGGGGGGCACCTATGTGGCACCCAGGAGGAAAGGAAGAGCCAGATGCCAAGAAGGGGCTCCTCCTGGCCACGCCAGCGCCTTCCTGTCCTGTGACCGCATCTCCCTGGCCCTGGCTGCCTGTGGCCTGGGAGCTGTGCAGGCCTCTCCCAGGACAATCTAGGTCTCAGGTGCCCCAAACGCCCACATCTGCTCACTTGGCCTTCACGCAGTGGCCAGCATTTTTACTCATTAGTAAAGCCAATCCACTCAAAGGCTGCCGAAATACAGGTCCCCTGGGCAGCCTGCTAAAATAAAAGTCCCCCAGACAGGCAGCTGCCCAGCGACCACAGCCGGGTGCACAGGGCACGGCCCACTGGGCAGACTGTGCAAAGCCTCAGGCCCTTTCTTCTTTGTTCTCTGTGGCAAGGCAGGGTCAGAAAACAACGCCCCTTGGCTGTCCCTGGGAAACAAGGCCAGCTGTGTCTTCTTTTGCCCCATAAGCATTTTTTTTTTAAGGAAAAAAAACGGTGGCTGCTTCTCGTGCTGAGAAATACCTAATCTCATAGGGCCAGGACCACACGCGTGCAGGCTCTCCCGGGGGTGTGCTGGTCCTAACATCACCTCCAGTCCCCGCCCGGCTCTCTGTAGGACGCGGCCGAAATGAGGGGCACCGGGTCACCCCACTCGCCCAGGACCACGTCCGGAAGCGTGCTAAGCACCCCTGCGGGGATGGCGGCTTGGCCCACGCCCTGGGTGTGCCAGCACAGTCTCCAGGTGCCAACACCTGTGCACCTCATAGAACTCCCCACCATAACTTTCAACCAGGAGGAAGCCGTGTCCTTGAATGTATGGGGGTGGCTGGCTCAGAGAAGCCAAGTGACTCGCCCAAGGTCACCAGGTATTAAAGTGCAGGGCTGGGGCTGGAATGCCACCTGCCGAGAACTGGGAAGCCGGCTGGGAACCCGGGGAGCGCGGCTGCGCCCCTAAGGCCTCGAGCTCCGCGGCCACCAGCCGAGGGCCACCCGGGATCCGCCACCCTGGCTCGGTCACCAGCGCGTCGGACGCCGCCTCGCGCTCTCTCGGCGGAGCCCCCGGGCGCAGCGATCCCCGTGCGCGTGGGCCGGACTGCTGCGGTTGCAGGCGCCTCTGCGGCGCCAGAGTCCCGTGCGCCCCGCGCCCCCCGCGCCCCCCGCGCCCCGCGCCCCGCGCCCCGCGCCCCGGCCTCACCTTGAGCAGGTCCAGCGGGTGCGTGCAGCAGGCGGCCCCGCAGGAGGCAAGTCCCCCGAAGTACCAGCGCGACACGCGCGCCTCGGCCGCCATGGCCCAGAGGAGCCCAACTCCAGCCCGACTGCAGCCCGACCCGGGCACGACCCCGACTCGGACCGGCCCGCAGCGCCCCGCGCCCGGTTCAAAGCGCCGCCCGCGCGCCCGCACCCCGCACAGCCAATGCGCGCGCGCGCCCCGGGGGCGGGACCGCTAGGCCACGCCCCCGGCGCCGGAGGTGGGCCCGGGACCTTAAAGCGGCCGCGCAGGGGCGCCGAGCGCGGTGGGCCCGACTGGGGGACGCGCGGGTGCTCCAAGGCCGCCCCCCTTACCCGGGACTCAGGTGTCTCTCCCTCCCCAGGCCTGAGCGCGGCGCCGAGGGCCACTGCCCGGGGACCGGCCCCAGGCTCACTGGACCGCGGCGGGCGCCGTGCCAGTCCCCAGGAGGCCCGGCCGCTGCCCTGAACCTGCACCCCGTGGCCACCCCGCTGCGCAGGCGCTGGATCCAGAGTCCCCGGGCGGGGGCCATGTTTGCGCCGCGTGGGCCCTGCGTCTGCAACCCCTGCCCAGCTGCAGGAGAACAGAAAACCGGCTTGGGGAGCCGGCGCGGTTGGCTCAACCCTCTAATCGCAGCTACTCGGAGGCTGAGGCAGGAGAATCGGTTGAACCCAGGAGGCGGAGGTTGCAGTGAGCTGAGATCGCGCCATAGCACTCCAGCCTGGGCGACAGAGCAAGACTCCGTCTCAAAGAAAAAAAAAAAAAAGGAAAACCCGCTTGGGGCCAGACTGAATGAAAACTAGGGGCAAAAGGAGGTTAGAAAGGACTTGCCTCTGCCTTCCCACACACAGACGCACGGGAGCGCCTGGTCAGCTCTGACCAGATGCCCCAGGCAACCACCCAGGAAGTGGGGCCCCGGGATGGGTCCTGGGGCTCCAGTTCCCAGGAGATGCCGGCCTGCATCTGGGCCCCTGCTTGGATTCCACTCGCCTGCAAAGAACAAGGAGGTGCTGGTGTGTTTCTGGCCCAGGTGCACCTGCTGGGCAGAGTGCAATTTAAGTCCCCAAGGTTGCTTTAGGACTGGGCCACAGGGATGAAGAACGTGCCGTTCCAGCTTGGGTGACCAGGGCAAAGGGTGAGGGGCACTGGGAAGACAACTCATGGTCCCTGGACCCCCTCAAGGACCAGAATGCGTCTAGCTCTGCCTCAGTGCGTCCAGTGATGCCCTAGCTGTGTCAGAGGCGCAAGACACGCACTTAGGACTTTCAGCTTGGCCGTGGGTTTGTTGGGCCATAACCCATCGTAGGCAGGCAGGCTCCGTATGTCTAGATTGGCCAATTGGAGGAGAATGTTCTGCAGACTCTGGGGTGGCCGCTGACCCCAGAGGTCATCAGCGGAAGATCTGGGCTGGGGAGTGAGCAGCTGGCCAGAGGCAGTGGCTCTGACCAGAAGTGTCCCCTGGACTTTGGTTTGGCTGGGTGCCTCAGGTGGGATCGAGAAAGGGGCTGGGTGGACACTGGGGGTGGAAACAGCCACGCCTGATGGGGAAGCGGGTGGAGGTTCTCAGGAGGCCACCAGGAGGGTGGGGGGCAGCGCTGCCTGCAGCAAGCCTGGGCTGGGGCTCAGCAGGGCGCATGGAGATGGCACAAATGCACCGCAGGGCCTCAGAGGGATCACGCTGGGCTTAAAAGGCCCCGAGCCAAAGACTCAACAGTTAGGAAGTGGGGGAGGTGGCCTGAGTGTAACGGAAATTTCCCAGCGAAAGGGTTGGACTGGCCTCCTTGTCCGGGGCCATCCAGGCTCATGCCTGACTCAGTCCAGCAGACTTGGCTGTGCCCACGGCGGCGTGTCTCACTCAGTGTGAACGAAGATGAGTTGCATCCGTTGGCTCCCAATTACTAAGAATCAGAGGCGATGGAAGCTCTGGGGTAGGCAGGGCCTGGAAGGCCAGAGTCCCCTCAGTCTGCGAGACACTCCAGTAAGGAGTGGGTTAGACCTGGGCTGCTACCCATCCCTCCCAAGGCCACCTGCAAGACAGGGTGGGAACCGGCTGTTGGCAGAGACCCCAACCCATATAACACTGGCTCCCTGCTGAAGGACCGGCTCCAAAGCAGGAAGAGCAGGGCCCAGCGGCTAAAGAGCGGGAACTAAAGAGATTTACAAAGAACACAAAAGGGTGGGCATGGCAGCTCTTGCCTGTAATCCCAGAATTTTGGGAGGTTGAGGCAGGGGGATATCTTTTTTTTTTTTTTTTTGGAGACGGAGTTTCGCTCGTTACCCAGGCTGGAGTGCAATGGCGCTATCTCGGCTCACCACAGCCTCCGCCTCCTGGGTTCAGGCAATTCTCCTGCCTCAGCCTCCTGAGTAGCTGGGATTACAGGCACGCGCCACCATGCCCAGCTAATGTTTTGTATTTTTAGTAGAGACGGGGTTTCACCATGTTGACCAGGATGGTCTTGATCTCTTGACCTCGTGATCCACCCGCCTCGCCCTCCCAAAGTGCTGGGATTACAAGCGTGAGCCACCACGCCCGGCCGGGATCTCTTGAGGCTAGGAGTTTCAGACCAGCCTGGACAACACAGACCACATCTCTACAAAAAATCAAAAGATTAGCTGGGCATGATGGCATGTGTCTGTAGTCCCAGCTACTTGGGAGACCCTTAGCGGGAGGACTGCTTGAGCACAGGAGGCCGAGGCTGCAGTGAACCTTGATCAAGCCACTGCACTCCCGCTAGGGTGACAGAGATCCTGTCTCTATTAAAAACTAAAAATAAGCCGGGCATGGTGGCTCCTGCCTGTAATCCCAGCACTTTGGGAGGCCGAAGAGAGCACATCACCTGAGGTCAGGAGTTCAAGACCAGCCTTGCCAATGTGGTGAAACTTTGTCTCTACTAAAAATACAAAAACTAGTTGGGTGTGGTGGCGCACGCCTGTAATCCCAGCTACTCAGGAGGCTAAGGCAGGAGAATTGCTTGAACCCGGGAGGTGGAGGTCGCAGTGAGCTGAGACTGTGCCATTGCACTCCAGCCTGGGTGACAAGAGCAAAACTCGGTCTCAAAAAAAAAAAAAATTAAAAAATTAAAAAATAAAAGTAAGCAGGGCGTGGTGGCTCACACCTGTAATCCCAGCACTTTGGGAGGCTGAGATGGGTGGATCACCTGAGGTCAGGAGTTCGAGAGCAGCCTGGACAACATGGTGACACCTCATCTCTATTATTTAAAAAATAATAATAATAATAAATAAAAATAAGGCTGGGCACATTGGGAGGCCAAGACAGACAGACTACTTGAGGGAATTTGAGATCAACCTGGCCAACATAGTGAAACTCTTGTCTCTACTAATAAAGATACAAAATTAGTTGGGCATTGTGGTGCAACCCGGTAATCCCAGCTACTTGGGAAGGTAAGGCATGAGAATCACTTGAACTTGGCAGGTGGAGGCTGCAGTGAGCCTGAGATTGCACCACCAGCCCGGGCAACAGCATGAGACTCTGTTTCAAAACAATAAATAAATAATTAAAATAAACATTAAAAAAATAGAACTTCAGGAGTCCGAGGTGGGCGGGTCACGAGGTCAGGAGTTCGAGACCAGCCTGGCCAGCATGGTGAAACCTCATCTCTACTAAAATTATAAAAATTAGCTGGGCATGGGGGTGTACAGCTATAATCCCAGCTACTTGGGAGGCTGAGGCAGGAGAATCGCTTGAACCGGGGAGGCAGAGGTTGCAGTGAGCCGAGATCGCACTCCAGCCTGGGCAACAGAACAAGACTCTGTCTCAAAAAAAAGCGCAAGGAGCAGCAGGAGACTGAAACGTGTAAACTCCGTGAGCTGTGGGAAGGCAACCAGAAGGCAAGGAATCCTGGGAAACAGGAAATGCACCCAAGACCAGAGCCTTTTTCAAATAATGGATTTTGCAACCTGTAGGTCAGGGGACTCGCGAAGACCCCTGCAATTCTCAAACGGATCATAAGTTATGTCGGTAGGCTCAAGGGGGTGATTGGGGCAGCCTGGGTAAGGTCATGGGACAGGACTGCCGTGTCAGGCCTCTGGACTGCGGCCTGGTGTCCACAGCAGTGTCCTGCCCCTTGGCATGCACAGGTCACCTTGGGGACCCCCCGACAGGGAGGACAGAGCCTCTCGGTGACTCCTGCGAGTGGCCTGGCGGATTCCTGGCTGAGGGCAGACAGTAGGGTCGCGTTGGGAGATTTTTGTCGGCCCATCCGGCCTTGGGGCAGCCCAGATGAAGACAGCATGCCTGTCTGACCCCAAGCAGGACTGGCCTGAGCTCAGATGTTCACTGCCTTCCAGGGGGAAAAGGCAGCTGGGGTCAGCAGGGCACAAGGCAGGATGTACCTAGCCCCAGGCGGTGGTGTCCTCCTGAGGGAAGAATCATAAACCCCTCAAATGGCTACCATGGCTAATGAGGACTTTCAGGCTTGTGGCATAGCCTGTCCTGGGGACAGCATGTTAATCAGAGAAACTCTACCAGAAGGCCTTGGAAGGGGGACCTGGGCAGGCAGGGTGTGGGCGCCCACAGTGAGCCTGAAACTCTGCCTCTCCCCAGGCATCCCAGCCACTGGGCAGGTCCCAGATACACAGGGCCCTTTTCTGGTCCCAAGCAAGGCATTCTTCCACCAGGGAAACAGGCTGGAGAGCATGGCTGCGCATAGGGCCTTCACACGAGGCATGTTTCCCAAAGCGGGTGCTAAACGCACCCCGTCTCTGGCCTTATGGTGGGCCCACAGCCTGGGGGCTGGCCTTGGTCATGGGCCAGCTGGGACAGAAACCCAGAGTGCACAGTGACCACTGCACCAAGCTGGCCCCGCTACTCCCAGTCCTCATGTCCACACGCCCCTCCTGCCACTTTGCCCAGGTCCCAGGATCCCCCACTCACGGGCCCCAGAGGAGCAGCTGACACCCAACTCTGCAGATGCAAAGTACACCCCACACCCCACCCATGGCACCCACACAGCTGTTGCCAGGCTTAGGTTCAGGGGTACTTGCGGCCTGAGCTAGGGGTGGCACTGCTGGCTCTGAGGCTGCCTCAGTTTCTTAGACAAGTGCTGAACTTCCTGCTGCCTTAAAGAGGGCCAACACTCAAAACAGGGTGGTTCACACTCAGACCCCTGCAAACAGGACGGGCCCAGGCCCGCCACTCCACTGCCATCCACCGGGCCCGCTGTGGGATCTCAGGATGGGCCTCGAACACAGGCGACATGGTGAATGTCTGTAGACTCTCAGCTGGCAGCTGGCAGCTGGAAGGGGCAGGAACAAGCCTGCCATCCCGTACCAGCCCCGATCCCCACGCTGGCCCCAAAGCCCAGCCACAGCACAGCAGTCCACACACTCAGCTGCACAGTGTATTCTCAGCGGCCACCAGAGGCACATTCACCAGTGGCACCTCCTGGTGGGCCTCCCAGTGCCCTCACCAGGCAGCAGCCGTCCCTCCCTCCCCGCCACAGGTCTGTGTGGCCTGTCTGGCCTTGCTGCGTGGCGCACGCGGCTCTCACTCCCAAACTGCTCCTCTGGGTGCCTGGTGCTGGGGGTGCGGCCAGTGGCCACAGGAGGGCGGGGCCTCACCCGGTCCCAGGGACCCCTGAACACAAGTCCTCAGCACTGGAGACTACTCCAGAACCACGGTGCCGCCCACCGCTTCCAGGGCTGCCTTGATCTTCTCTGCCTCGGCTTTGGCGACATTGGCTTTGATTTCCTGGGGCAGGGACTCCACCAGCTTCTTTGCCTGCCAGACAGAGTGAAGTCAGAGACCCGGGGCCCTGGGCCGCCACTCCCAAACCTGCCTCGGAACTGGCTGCTGTGGCGCGGGCCCCACCTGGACGAGGTTGATGCCCTGGATGTAGTTCTTGATCTCCTTGATCAGCTTCACTTTGTCCACAGGATTGGCCTCGGTCAGGCGGACAGTGAAATGTGTCTGTTCTTTCAGTTTGGGGATTTCTTCTTCCACCACCTTAGGGAGTAGGAAAGAAGGGGGGCCAGGTGAGAAATGGCCGGGGGTGGTAACACCTCCACTGCTGGGACAGCCATTCTAAAGCCCCAAAGGGAGGCACAGGGGAGGCCCCAGTGAAGCCTGGACTTGGAAGTCAGGTCTCCCAACTCGCTAACCCTTAACCAGCTGGTGCTTTTCCTCTCGCATAGCTGTTCAGAGCAGATGTGACCAGTAAGACTTCCTAAACCTGCCTCAGCTGGTGGCTGACACCTGTAATCCCACCACTTTGGGAGGCTGAGGTGGGTGGATCACTTGAAGTCGGCAGTTTGAGACCAGCCTGGCCAACATAGGGAAACCCCATCTCTATTAAAAATACACAAAATTAGCTGGGTGTGGTGGCATGTGCCTATAATCCCAGCTACTCAGGAAGCTGAGGCAGGAGAATCGCTTGAACCCAGGAGGCGGAGGTTGCGGTGAGCCGAGATCGTACCACTGCACTTCAGCCTGGGTGACAGAATGAGACTCAGTCTCAAAAACAAAACACACTTCAGTTCTTCCCTCAACACTCTACTCCCCTCTCCCTTAGAAAGTGTAACTTATAACAGGAAAGAATCACACCAAAAGTGCTTTGTATATAAAATAAAGTTACAGAAAAGCACGCCATCCTGTCCTCAACGTCACGGTGCACGTATAATGACAAACTGCTTCTGACGTGACGCGTGGAGACCCAGCACTGCCTGAGGGCGGGGGCTGCGGTCCCCGTGGCCTGGCACGGGCTGGGCTGGGCCTGCTGCCCAGCTGTTAATAACAGCCCCTCCATCCTGAAAAGCAATCCAGTTACACCCCAGGCTCTGCAGTAATCCCAGCTATTCTTACCCAAACGCTCAGCCTGAATCTTCTCAGCCTTTAGACTGCCTTCCAGGTCTCAGGCGTGGGAGTGATGACGCCCCATGGACACCCTATGCCTTTGGAATGTGGGACCCTCTATGGGACACCACCTGGTTCCCTAGTGGGGGAAAGGGGCTGAGGGGAGGGTGCCAGTGGAGAGGCTCATGCAACCTCACGACCGTTGGCTTCCCTGCAGAGACCCAAGGACAGAGCTGCCTGTTACGCCCCTTCGTCTGTGCCAGCGCCCACCCTCCATGCTGCTCCCTGAACTACAACTCTCTTGCCTGGTGGCCCTGGTACCACCCCCTCCTCTGCCAGGAAGTCTCTTCTGCCATGACTGCCTCCTCTTTGAACTTGTAACTCTCCCTCTTACCTTAAGCTTTTTCCCTCCTTATCTCCATAATGCTTACAACGTTCTATTCAATATAATTTCTTCTTTTCTTTTTCTTCTCTCTTTTTGTTTTGTGACAGGGTCTTGTTCTGTTGCCAGGCTGGAAGGCAGTAGTGTGATCTCGGCTCACTGCAACCTCCACCTCCCTGGTTCAAGCGATTCTCCTGCCTCAGCCTCCCAAGTAGCTGGGGTTACAGGTGCCTGCCACCATTCCCAGCTAATTTAGTAAAGACATGGTTTCACCATGTTGGCCAGGCTGGCCTTGAACTACTGACCTCAAGTGATCTGCCCACCTCAGCCTCCTAAAGTGCTGGGATAACAGGCGTGTGTGAGCCACAGAGCTCGGCCTGCTTCTTCTCTTAGTGTCTGTTTTCCCCCATTAGAAACATGGTCTCCACGTGGCAAGGACATGCACATCCATGGCAGGGAGTAGGTCCCGGGAGGCTGCACGAGGCCTGCACAGGTGTGAAGGCTGCAGACATGACGGTGGCTGCAGAAGCTGACATAAGGGGCCACAGCACGTGAGGCCACAGGCGAACTGGGCACCACAGAAATGCCTCTTTCTGCCCCGGACTCACCTCCTGGGCTGCTGCAGCAGGGACAGCCCCAGGCATCACACCACTCATCGGCACAAGCCCCACATCCTGGATCTTCAACGTTTTCTGCAAAGATGGACAACAGTGTCCACAGCTGCCCCCACACCAGCCAGAACACACGGGGGAGGAGGAACCAGCCTGGCATGGGCCTTGCACCTGGACAAACGGGCTTCTGACAATTTACCAAACTTCAAAAATACACCGGGAACAAAACATAGCGGCCCCCAGACAATCTTCCAGCCCCTGGGTCTGGGCCACCCTCTCACCATACCTTCAGGAGCTCGTTGAGGTCTGAGATCTCCAGGAGAGTGAGGCTGGCGATGTCCTGGACCAGCTGCTGAATCTTGGGGGGGTACTCCTTCGGGGCGTTATCCAGGGGTGCACCAGCAAGAGCCTCACCCCTCCGATGGCTGCTGCTTCTCACATGTCGCACGGCACAGACACATGGCACCTGCTGCCTAGCCCCCACCCCCAATTCAAACAGCTGTCAGCCCTGGAATGGAGGGGGCTGCAGAGACCAGGGCGACAGGACAGAAACCAGAGGATGGGTGTTGGCCATAAACTCAGGCTGGTAATCACTATGGTCGAAAATTACCTAGCTCCTTGATCCCAGCCCAGGGTTTTCAGACCTCAACGGATCCATATAGATGAAAAGATTTGCAAGTTACTTTAAACTCTTCAAAGAGCCTTAAAAAGCCACGTGTTTATTTGCAGCTAAACCGCTCAAACCTCAAGCTTCTGGTTTGAATGAAGTACATCAACCCAGCGGTGGTAAAACGTACTTAGGTGCATCTCCCTGCGGAAGGCACCCAAAATGTGGGGGCCCCTGACCGAAAAACGCCGCACGTACGGACGGGCCTTTGCCGCGGAGGAGGCTGAGGCCGGGGGAGGAGCAGGGAATCGTCCAAGGTCATCTGGGGCCAGCCCCGGCGCTTTCTGCTGCCCAGGAGGGAAGGCGCGGGCGCACCGGTAGTCCTCCTCCCCGCGCCCCGCTAAGACCCCCAAGCCCGGCCTGGGCGCTGCAGGGAGGCCGGCCCCGCCGCCCGCCTCTGCCCGGATCGGCCCCTCAGTGTCCTGCCGCCCCCTACCCTGCCCGCCAGCCCGGTCCTGGCGCCCCAGGATCCCGCGGTACCTGGCGACGCGGAACGCAGCAGCCCGAAGCCCAAGGCACGGCCCCCAGAGGGGGCGAGCGGCCGCCGGCAGCATCGGTCCGCGGGCTGGAAGGTCACACGCGGTTCCCCGAGAGAAGGCGACGCTCTAGCCGCCTCAGCCGCCGGGCATTAGAGCTGAGCAGCGACGCTCTAGCCGCCAAGGCCGCCGGGCATTCGAGCTGGGGAGCGACGCTCTAGCCGCCAAGGCCTCCAGACAGTCGAGCAGGAAGTGGCGCTCTAGCCGTTATGACCGCCGGGCATTAGAGCCAGGAGTGACGCTCTAGCCGCAGTTCGCGCTGGCCTCGCCTCCCTCCGAGAGTACCCACAAGGCAGCCCGCTGAGCAGGCGCAAAAGCGACGTCGGTGGCGGCACCTGGGCACCTGGGTCCTTTCTTTCCTCCGGCTTGTGGGGTCGCGTAAAGGAGCCACGGGGCCTGGGGACTCCGCATTCACGTGTTCTTTCTCCGGAGCTCAATGCGCGATGCGAACCGAGGATGGGGCCCGAAGCCCACAGTAACCCGCGTTTCCCGCCCGCCCCGGGCCCCCAGTGCTGCCGTCGCGGGCGGAGCGGCAAAGGACATCCCCTTTCCCCGCGAAAGCCCCAAACACCCTGGTGGCTCCTTGGAAGAGCGCGGCTGAGCCTCCGCCTTCAGATCAAAACAGGCGGAGCCTCCAGGTGCGGCGCGGGCCGGGTGCCTGCTTATCCCGCACGCCTCTCCACACCTCCCCTCTCCCTGTCCGTTCGAGTCATTCCTTCCTGCAAGAGCCAAAGCCGCGCTCCCCGAAGAGGCCTGGATGTGAAAGTGCGTGAGACGCCCTGGCCTCCGGGTGCAAAGGCCAGCGCCTGCCGCTTTCAACACTCGGGAAACGCGTTTTAGCCGTCTGCCCCTGGCCGGGGACTCAGAGCCCCCAACCCTTCTCAGCACCCGGCTCCCTTCCTAGGGGTGAGGAGCACCCGGGAAGCTTCAGCCACCATACGGAGGCGGCGCCAAGTCCAAACTCCTCTCCAGCTTCAGGCAGGGTCAGTGCAGGGCCGCGCAGGGCATAGGTGAACCCTGGCACGCAGCCTCAGGGAGGGACAGGCTGGACACGACCCTGCCCGCAGCTGGCCCATCAGCCCCACCACTCGCCTCCTGAGCAAACGCTGAGGCAGGCTGGGCGCAGTGGCTCAGGCCTGTAATCCCAGCACTTTAGGAGGCTGAAGCGGGCGATCCCAAGCTCAGGTGTTCAAGACCAGCTTGGCCAACATGGTGAAACCCCGTATCTACTAAAAATACAAAAACTAGCCAGGCGTGGTGGTGGCCTGCACCTGTGGTCTCAGCCACTAGAGAAGCTGAGAAGCAAGAATCGCTTGAACCTGGGAGGCAGAGCTTGCAGTGAGAGGAGAGAGGTGGCCACTGCCACTGCACTCCAGCCTGGGCGACAGAAAATTAAAAAAAATTTAGGCCGGACACGGTGGCTCACGCTTGTAATCCTAGCACTTTGGGAGGCCGAAGTGGGTGGATCACCTGAGGTCACGAGTTCAAGACCAGCCTGGCCATCTTGGTGAAACCCCATCTTAAAAAATAAAATTTAAGAACCCACAATGCTGATGCTTTCTGAAATACATTTTATTATCATTGTTCCATTCTGGGGCACTGGAGATGACAGCTGAGAAGCAGAGAAGCTGGAGCCCTGAAGCGTCCACCCTTGGCTGTGGCAGCTGAGAGGCCCCTGCAGAGGGCACCCCAGGCCACACCCAGACACCACAGCCAGCTCACAGTGGGGCCAGAGGGCACAGGCTGCGTGGGGGGCTGAGGGTCCCCATTCCTGCCACCTCTCCAGACCATGACCCACAGGATGGGGGCTTCCCTCCTTCCTTCCCTCCCCATGGCCCAGCCCTGGGGAAAGAAGGCAGAAACCAACTCAGGGACTGCGGCGGGCTGAGGATAGGGAGGGAGGTGGGCTCGGGTGAAGGCCCCCTCACTTGCAGAGAAGGGACACTAGTGGCAGGAGAGGATGGGGAGGCGGGATGGCGGCAGTTAGAGACGAGGCGTTTTGGGTGAACTGTAGTGTTACTCTGGACAGGAGCATGGCCTGGGTCAGTCGAATGAGATGAGCTGGGCCTCGCTGCCCTGTGCCGGAGGCCCCTGTGCCGGCGGCTGTGGGGCCACGGGGGGCTGCTGCTGGGGGGGACCGCCGGAGGGCGCCATCTGTTGGGAGGAGAGCAGGCATGGCTGGGAGGAAGGCTTTGGTCCCAGCAGAACCACAGACCCACAGGAGCCCGTCATCCACGTCCACCGAGTGGAGCTCATGTGGCCTTTGTCTTTCAAGTGCATTCATGATTTTTCCCGTCTCCACTTGTGGACACATGTCTGCCCTAAGACTCACATCCTCGTTCTGCCTGCTAAGGAGGGGCCTCGGGTATGTGTCTCCCCGTGTGAGCAGGCATACGAGACAATCCCCACTGGGGCCAGGAGACCCACCCGTAAACCAGAAGATTGAAGCTGCCCTGCGGATGCCACTGAGGCCCTGGGAATGCCTCACCTGCGGGTATATGGGCTGCTGCCCCGCGAGGTAGGGCTGCTGGGGTGGCAGGGATGTGTCCTGGCTCGGGAGGGTGGTCATGAGACTCTGTTGTGAGAAGCCGATGTCAGAGAGTAGCCCTATGACCACGCAGCCGGGGGGTGTTTCTGGCTTGCAACAATCCATAGAGGACAAAGCCCAGAGAGTTGAGGGGAGGAAAGAAGGGGTGGGGCCCGCCCAGTGCCCACCAGCCTCACCAAGACCCTCAGTGTCAACTCTGTTCCCCACCCCGGCCCCTAGCAGAGCCTGGAGGTCGCCGTACCTGCATGTTGTAAGGCTGGTAGCCCATGGAGACCGACTGGCTCCCCATGTAGCCCATAGTGCTGGACTGCGGAGGCTGAGAGATGGCCGGGAGGCTCTGCGGGGCCTGGGAGGCCACATTCTGCGGGGGGAATGGGTGCCATGGGAGAAGGGGCTGGGCTGGCCCTGGAGGTGGGGAGTGGCCTTGTCTGCATACCTGGTAGCCCGCTGTAGGAGTGGGCTGATAGGATGAGTAGGCAGGGCTGGCGGTGGGCCCGGCCTGGGCCTGGGGGGCTGCCTGCGCCCCAGTGGCCCCTGCTGGGTACATGTAGGCGCTCACCATGCTGGGATCTGTGACAAACAAGACAGGTGAGATGGTTCAGCCAGGGCAATGTGGAGGGGAGGAAGGGACACCCTTCTCTTCAGTTTTCCTTTCCTGTTTTTTGAGACCAAGTCTCACTGTGTTGCAGAGACTGGAGTGCAGTGGCGCCATTGGTTAAGGCGGGCGGATCATGAAGTCAGGAGTTCAAGACCAGCCTGTCCAATACAGTGAAACCCCGTCTTTACTAAAGATACAAAAATTAGCTGGGCATGGTGGCGCATGCCTGTAATCAGAGCTAATCGAGAGGCTGAGGCAGGAGAATCGCTTGAACCCAAGAGGCAAAGAGGTTGCAGTGAGCCAAGATCACACCACCGCACTCCAGCCTGGGCGACAGAGCAAGACTCCCATCTCAAGAAAAAAAAAAAAAGGAAGATAAACCAGCAAGGATGGAGGAGAATCCCAGAACGGAATGAAATCTGAAGAAAGGAACCAAACTATTTTAAATGAGTGACATGGTCTGACCAATGGGATGGGAGAGTGAATCCCAGTAACTTCAGAACCCAGAATCTGGACTCTACGGCCTCAGGCTACAGATGACAGGAGCTGCAGACGACCATTACACTCCGGTTAGGAGGCATCGTCTCCACAGTGGGCTGGAACAGCATTCTTGAAACTACTTTTTGTGTATTCTGGGGCTAAGCAATTAAGTACACTGAAGACAATGCCAAACAAAACTATGCTATTGGGTTAAAATTCCAAGTCCTAGAATGAATTCAAGGGTTTTTTTTTTTTTGAAACAGAGTCTTGCTCTGTCAGCCAAGCTGTAGTGCAATGACACGATCTCGACTCACTGCAACCGCCGCCTCCCGGGTTCAAGCAATTCTCCTGCCTCAGCCTCCCGAGTAGCTGAGACTACAGGTGCGTGCCACCACACCCGGGTAATTTTTGTATTTTTAGTAGAGCTAGGCTGGTCTTAAGTAATCCATCCCCGCCTCAGCCTCCCAAAGTGCTGGGATTACAAGCAGGAGCTACCACACCTGGACAAACTCATGGTTTTTTACCATATACAGGTCACTAGGTCAAGAGATTGAGACCATCCTGGTAATAAACATGGTGAAACCCTGTCTCTACTAAAAATACAAAAATAAGCTGGGCATGGTGGCACACGCCTGTAGTCCCAGCTACTTGGGAGACTGAGGCAGGAGAATTGCTTGAACCCAGGAGGCGGAGGTTGCGGTGAGCCGAGATCGCGCCATTGCACTCCAGCCTGGGTAACAAGAGCAAAACTCTGTCTCAAAAAAAAAAAAAAAAGCGATTAATAGAGGATTGCAATCTTTGAAAGAAAAAATGCACATCTCCACGCTGCTGTAACTGCCGGTAACTAGGAGCAGGAAGAGCACCTCCCTCCAGTGGAAAGACAACATCGCAATTAGAAGGCACAATCTGACGAACACTACAATGAACCTAGGCAGCACTCACATAAACCTAGGCAGCACTGACAAAAAAACGGTAGAGCTTGAGGAGTCCAGGCATATCCGGAAAGTCTCCCCGAGACACATCTGATTACCAGGGGTGACACAGTCACTTCACAGTGAAAACCCCTGGCAGAGCCCGTCTCATCCAAATGGCCAGCAATGGGGCTAAGTGACAGGACGCAGGTCACCTGTGCCGCTCCAAGGAAAAGCACAGCTCCAGTCACCGCGCGGAGACACCAGACAAACCCAAGAGGATAGTCTGCCAGACGACAGGCTCTTGGGACAGTCGATGTCACAAAACGCAAAGGCTGACTGGGGAATGCTCTAGATTAAAGGCGACGAGAGGAGGGAGGGCTAAATAGCACGAGCCACTGGGCCTGCTGTTGGTACAGGACACCAGGGGGACTGCCCACGAGGACGGAGCCCGCTATGGACTGGACTGGGCGGCCGGCCCAGTGCCTGCTGGTTTCAGAAAGAGCTCACTGTTGCATTGGTGGGGAGGGGAGCGCCCACCCCCAACTGAAAAGCGGCTCCAACAGGAAAGCCTGCGTGAGGTCATTCGCATGGAAGCAGGAAAAAGCAAACGTGACAAAAT